ACCCTGAGGATCCGCTGCCTCCACCAAATCCGGAAGATCCACTTCCTCCATTAAACCCGGAAGATCCGAGTCCTCCTCCACCTAACCTTGACGATTCACTAGCCGCAGATCCGAGGCCTCCAGATTCTCCTCTCGAACTTCCTAGAAAAAGGTATACGATTAATTCAGCTTCGTCAAAATTCACTTGATGAGCATCGATGACAAATGGATATAATGTATTATGTATATTTACCTCTACTGCGGCCAGCTGGAGCTAGATCGAAAATCTCTTTATCTGATTCTTCTTCTGCCTTATGGGAGCGACCTTTTGCGGATACTATCTAAATTTTAAAGGCTCAAAAGCTTTAAAAATGTGCAACTTTGCGTAAAAATCTCGTCAACATGAGAATCGGCTTACCTCCTCACTATCAATCTCTGGCAACTCTTCAGAAAGACCTGCAGGTTCCTTACTCTTTGATTTGTGGCTCACGAATTTCTTCTCCCATTCGTCCTCAAAAGATTTTGGTTGATTATAAAATTATTGGATGAGAAGCATGCTCAACAGTATGAATCAAACTAGTGGAAACTCGTACCTCATTTTCCCAAGAAAGTTTGGAGTTGCCAAGCTTTTCTTCTGGTTCTGATGGTGGCGGATGCCTCTCCGATGAATCCAGTGGAGACGGGCGTCTCATCTCTGACTCTGATGGAGGTTCGGGTAGTTCTTCTAGAATGTATGTACATCGATGCAAAGTTTGAGGTTTCTAATAATTTTTTTGGATTCAAATGCTGCGCGTAGATTTCGCTGCTTAGTACGTTTAATCTTCTCATTCTGTAGTAAAACTCTAGCTTGATCACCCTGGTGCAAAAATTCTCATGTATTCCACACATTTATTAGTCTTCCATCTGTGGAGCATTCTGCGCGATGGGCTTAGAGAAAATCAGCTAAATAGCGCGAATTGTTTCTCGGCCACGTTTTGAAGAAGATAAAACTTAGTTTTTCAGAGAAAAGAATTGAACTTTTGCAATGTGCGTAATTTCAACTGTATTGCAATGCCAACTTAGACAGCTCCGACTATCCGACCTTGAAAAGTCCGTAAAAGGACAGTTTTCACGTCGGTGAGTTGAGAGAAATTTCGGAAATCGCTCGTGGAAGCGATGTGATGTGCAAAGCACAATTTCTCAAAGTAATAAAGTCAGTAGCATGTAAGAAAAATCATATCATGATCTAGAAAGTATGATAGTGCTATGACTGCCTAATCATCCTATAAGATTGCTACAGCAGTTGCTGAAATCTTTTTTGCTAATTTTGTAAGAGAAGATCTACCGTCTGAACTTGAGCTCAAATTTCTTGATCACTTGCTCCCTCCTTGCGCCATACTAACTTTTGTAACAGCACCATTTCTTGAGAGATTCTCTGATAAAAGGCAATTAAAGGCCTACCTTCTGGCTCTTCTGCGGTTTCGAAACGGAACT